GGCAACTGGTGTGTGTGTGTGTGTGTGTGTGTGTGTGTGTGTGTGTGTGTGTGTGTGGAGAGCAGTGCAGTGCAGGCAGCCTCCGTCTCCTCCTCTCCCCACCCATGGCTGAGGGAGGCTGGAGAGTCAGGCTGTGGAGCTCAGTGGGGCTAAAGTCTCATCAGCTCGAGCTGCTGGTTCAAAGGTTGATTCAGCGATACATGAAGCCTTGTGTAGCTGAGGCATCGTGTTTCTGTGTGTGTGACTGCGTTCAAGTGATGTTAGCCGCTAACATGCTAATACGAAGCTGTAACAGACGATCATGCTATGCTAACTGTTCCATCCTCTGACTGCTGCAGGGGCGTGTCTTACAGAGAGGCTTTTATACCAGAACACAGCCGCTGTGACGAAACCGTGAAGACACGTCACCATCGAGAGCCGTTAACCAATATGCAAATTAGCCTGCAGTACCACGGCTCAACCCATAGTATGCAGCAAAGAGATGTTTTAAGACCAAATATTACAGATTTCAACAAAAACACACAAAACCATCAAAATTAGCACAGAAACAGTACTATATAACATTTTAGACACATTCTAGATAGTTTATCAGCTAAAAAAAGTTAATTCTGGGGTAAGTTCCTCTTTAAAGATTAAGCATGTTTAAGCATGACCCATGTTTTTTTGTTGTTTGTTTTTTTAGCCCGTGCACTTGAAGAAAGTTTGACTTATGCTTGGGCAGCAAAGACTCATGGGACATTTCCTATATTGATCATTTAATGAGTTCTTAATATGTGTTCTTAAAAATAATGAAAATCTACACATGTGCTTAAATCTAATTTAAATTTATTTTGTGGTTATAATTATTTCATGTTTAATATTAATATAATTCAATGATAAAGTAAGCACCATGAGTGAAAACTGTGCTCTACAGCCCCTTATATAGTGGAAATACAGTGTTTCTACAGAGGACAACAGGAGATTACAGCCTTGTAAACAAGGCAACTACTGGTGAGACAAATCAAACGGGACCCACTTTGGGCACCTCTGATATAAGTAATTTGTGTGTTTGTGTAATATCGGTAAATATCGGTTATCAGCCATAACACCAATAATAATATCACATATCAATATCTGCTGAAATTTTCATATTGGTGCATCCCTAATGCAAAGATTTAAAACTTGTTGGAGATCAGCGTCAGCTACTTTATAATCCCATTTTAGCTCAATAGATGTAAAATTTACTGAGTTGAAGTTATTTTTGTAGATTTCAGGTCAGGTGGCTGTGACAGCCATCTTGAATCCAGTTGACTCTAAAGTTAAACATCAAATAACTACTTTCTGAAAGTTTTATTAAGATTCGTGCAGTGGTTTGTGAGATATTTTGGTAGGAGACAGACTAACACAGGCACAAACCTAATTGCTCGCTGTCGCTAATCGATGGCAGGTGATAATGACTTTTGGCTTAAAGTGATCAGCTTTTATTTCAGGGCAGTTGCCTCCAAAATGGAGGAGTTTAGGAATTAACAGCTTGTCTTTTTTTTTTCCAATAATCGCCTCCAAGTTTGATTTATGAATAAGTTTGGATTTTGTTTGATTCTTGTCCAACATGTGAACAAAAAGGTCAAGAAAAACAATTACACTGTGAAGCAGTCAATCTGAAACATGTTCAAAACTCTTAATGCAAAGGAGAGGCTGCTTAAAGGCTATTAAACGCTGAGTGAGTGATGTCAGACATCAGACATAACACCGCGGACAGATACCATTAACCACAATGATGCCCTTCCAGAAGGTTAGAATCACAAAAGAACTTAAACAAATTAACTTGAGAAAATAAATAAATAAAGGCAAATTTAAATGACTATATGGGATGTGCTGCCTGTGGCTTTTGATGGCTGCAGTAAAACTCCTTTCATGCAAGTTACAATGATGTCATCTGGAGCTGGCCTAATTGATCAATTAGCAGCTGGTGCTTTCTCATCCAAATGAGACAGTGCAAACGGGGTAACCGCCAGGCATAAAACTGTCTTTGAATAATTAAAATGACCAAAAAATGAAAACTGAAGGAGGGGAGTGAAAGATGGAGAGACCCGAACTATAGGAAAAAAATAAAACAGAAAGAGTAATAGAGAGACGGCAGCAAAGACAAAGACCTTCGGAGAAGAAAAACAAAAGAGAGAAGGATGTTATACGCCGTGAAGAGGTGCCAGCAGTTTCTGTGTGTCCCCTTATTTGGGCCAAGCAGAGCTTTAATTGTGCACCACCCCGGGGCGAAGCCCAAATCACACCGGACTTCAAAATGACAGCTTGATAGGATTTGGACAGCGCGGGAGAAGGAGGCTCAGAAATGAGGTTCAGCCTGCTGTTCTCAATGAATCACTGCAGAATTAGTAAGATATTTTTATTAAATATCTCCCCCGCCTTGCCTGCTAAAATGAAGAACTGTCACTGAGAGAGGCCAAGAGCTCCTTTGTGATAATATTCCAGGCTGTTAGGAGGTAGCAGCCGCATGTTTAGAGGAAAAATAACTGCAGAGTGGTGGTTAGACTAATGCGTTCACTGGAGAACCAGAAAGGCTTGCAGACAAAAGAAACTCTGAATTACACCTGGATGTTAATGTGATTACTCTCCACGCTTTTAAAAATATCACATTTTTTAAATTACTGCTGCACTTTAGAGAAAATATTACTAAACTCATTAAACTAAACTGCAGAAGTCTGTCTTGTCCAAGAGCAGAAATGGGACATTATGCTTGATAAAGGAGTAAATTTGTGACTAGTTTCACTTCTATAACCCAGAGGTTCTCAAACTAGGGTCCCAGGAACCCTAGGGGTCCGCGAGAGGTATCTTAGGGTTCCTCAAAAAATTTCACTAAATTGTTAATATGGTTTTTAATTTTTAAAAATGCATGGAGAACAATGAACTAATAAAACAAACATAATAAACGTAATAAAATTATATATTCCCATGGCATTTAGGGGTTGAAATGACAACAAATTATCTTTTAAAACAGCATGGGATTAATGAGGGGGTTCCTGGAATTTTTTTCGCTCTTGTAAGGGGTCCCCAGATCCAAACGGCTTGAGAACCCCTGCTATAACCAACCAGCTTCTTCCAAACTTAAGGCTTTTTTTACATTAAAAAAGGAAAGAGACACCAGCGCAATAATCTTTTTTAGACACTATGGTTGTCGACATGACTGTCCAACACTCCTACACAAACAGCCACATCTGAAACAACAACGAGTTCAGAGCTTCGGAGGGTTTAGACGCCATGTGTACAAACAGAGATTAGCCAGTTGGATCTGATGAGTGGTTGTTTTGCATTCCAACTCATCCCAAACAGCAGAGCAGAAACACAAACTTAACTCATTCTGAGAAAAAAGAAGAAAACAATCTTGTAGATTGACCCCCTCTAAAATTGGATACAGACATTTAGTTGTATTCTGTTCAGTGTTAACAGCTGGGTTCTGACTTCCCTTTAGGAAAAATAAAGCAGGAAGCTTAAAGCAAATGACTAAAAGCAAAGGTTTATGCAGATGATGTGATGAGAACAGGGAACAGGTGTGAATACAGGTGGAACAGCGAGGCTACAAGAAGCAGAGGTTACAAAGGTGCAGAGAGTGTGGTAAAGAGGTAAAGACGAGACCAAACAGGATAGACCAGAAATTCTGGAGTGACTTGGGACAAAGGGTGGCAGCAAAGGTCGAAGAAAAGGGTTACAAAGGAGCAGTGAGATCAGCTGTGTTGTATGGTTTGGAGACAGAGGCATTGACAAAAAGACAGGAGACTGAACTGGAAGTGTCAGAGCTGAAGATGATGAGGTTCTCCTTGGGAGTGACAATGACGGATAAGACTAGGAACAAGATCATCAGAGGTACAGCACAGGTTGAACCACTGGGAGATAAAGTTAGAGTCCAGATTGAGATGGTTTGGACATCTCCAGAGGAGGAACAAAGGGTACATTGGTAGAAGGATGTTAGAAAGGTCAGGAAAATAAAGTGGAGACATATGACACAAATAAATGTATGACAGGTTGCCTTCAGGCCCAGGCCAAAAAAG